CACACACACACACACACACACGCACACACACACACACACACACACACACTCTCTCTCTGTCTACGCCTCTGCGCATGTCTCTGCATATGGAAATTCATGCACTCACCAACGGGCCTAGCTCAGCTGGTACATCCATGGACTGTTACAATACAGGGGGAGTTCAAATCCAGATGCAACCAGATGAACAGAATAGAATAAGATTCTGAGTTACTTGAAGAAAGGAAAGAGGAGGGGGGGGAGGGGGCGGAAATCATGCACTCACTAATGTTTATGTTTTTCAATCTTGATTGAAACTGTGAGAAAACCCGAACAGATAGGACTCACTCCATACCGGGTTCCACGGATGCTATGGAGGAACCTACCCCAGTTTCCGGTCTGATTCATGCAGCTACTGTGGTAACAGACGTGATCCTATGGCACATCTTTTTGTCCACACAAACAGATCTGTTCACCTAAAGCACACTTGCACAGTAAACCTTTTTTTTTTTTTTTTTTTTTTTTTTTTGGAAACAAATGCTCCAGTCTATTCGTGGGGAGCAGCACGTGCTGGGAACCGGGCCCAGCGTCCCATTTCGAATTGCACAGATCATTGAGAACATTTGAGATTATTTGAGATACCGGGGCCATTACCCAGCTTCGGCTGAGAACAGTCTGTGAACACGATATGAATCAGAAAACTTGGTCAATGAACAAATAAGATGTGCCATAGGATCACGGCAAAAAGGAACCTACCCCAGTTTCCGGTCTGATTCATACAGCTACTGTGGTTTAACTGCATGTACCAGCAGTTAGACCGCCAGTACATGCCTCACATCGGCCCGCGCGGGGCCGTGTCAGAGGCCAAAAAGAGAGGCTTGTCGCCAATTTCTTTTATCGACGGCGCTGGCGCCGACCTTTCCCGATAGACGACGAGTTTCTTTTCAGCAAGGCTGGGGCCGTGTACTGGCCGTTTAAGCAACGATTCATTCCTTTCATCTTATAGGAGTTAGCAGGCAACCTTGAATGCAATTGCAAGATCTGTGACAATCAATCTTGAAAGCACATGAGTACAGCATCTACATCCCCACGCCGTCTGAGTGAGGCAGGGGGAGGGGGACTTTTCAAGAACGAGAAAAAAATGGTAGAATTTTTTTGAAAGAGTTCTGAGAGCAAGAAAGCATGCTGGTTATTTACGACCAGGAGGAATTGCACAAGATTTACACTTGGGGTATAAGCGAAGATCTATTTCTATTTTCACAGCAATTTGCTTCTCGTATAGACGACGGGGGTGGGGGGAAGATGCCAGATCTTTACCTTTGCCTAATCCAATTCAATTCCCACTCTATCTGTTGATGAGGAAAAGAACATTGCACTGACGAGCTTTTGATTCCTAAGCCAAGCAAAAGACAAGTGTAATTTGCGCAATTTGATCCAAATTTGGGCCAAATTGGACCGCCCCAAACAACGGTTATGTGCAGCAGAGGGCGAGAGGTACCCCACGTCTAGATTGGCCACACATCCGTCCACATATGAGCAGTTTTTGCACACTTCTGTGTGACAAGGTGTGACAAGGTGTGACAAGAAGGTGTGACAAGGTTCCAGCATCAGTGTGGACAAACAGGGAAGGAAAAGAATGGATTCGAAACGCAGTCTTTTGTGTGACATGGTGTGACAAGGTTCCACCATAAGTGTAGACTTGCAGAGCAGGAAAAGCAAAAAAACAAAAAAGTGCGTCGGAGTGAATAATGGAAAAAGCAACGAGAAAATATAGACCATACACTGGTGTACAGGAGCTCGATTGGGGAGGAAACAGGCACAAGAAAAGCCCTTTGGTATCGTAGCATTCTGGGCCATTGTGGGTGGGGTGTGTGTGTGTGTATCTATCTCCACGTCTGTCTGTCTTTCTATTTTAATCCCTCCCTCCACCCAACATTCCCCATCTCTATCCCTCCTCACCCGTCATAACCCCTCTCTCCCTCTCTCCCTCTTCATCCCCCGCCCACCTTTCTCTCCCTGTGCAACCTCCAACCACCTCTCTCCCTCTCCCTCC